GAGACATTGAAGGAGTTTCCATTTCTGAGAAGATCAACCCCCTCAAACCCCCGTGTGACTCATGCCTCCGAGGGAAGATGAGCAAGGCCCCATTTCCCACAGGTGGCGACAAACGCACAACTCGACCTTTGGAGCTCGTGCATAGCGACATCATGGACTTGGGTGACGCTCACCCGTCACTTCGCTATGTGCTGACGCTCAAGGACGACTATACCAACTACCTGTGGGTGGCGCCGTTGGCTCGCCGGTCCGACATGGCAGCTGTTTTCTCAACTTGGCATCGCGAGATGAAGACCAAGCTGCCCACGAAGCCACTGGCTGCCTTGCGCACGGACAGCGGGGGGGAGTATACAGCAAACGCCTTCACGGATTACCTGAGTTCTCACGGTATCAATCACCAAACGTCCTTACCACACACGCCGCAGCAGAATGGAGTCGCCGAACGGGTTAACCGCACACTCATGGACCGAGTGCGTGCAATGACTACCGGGGCCAGCCTTTCTTCTAAGTTCTGGCCTTATGCGCTGGAGTATGCAGCATGGTTACACAACCGCATCAGCTGCAGCAGCAACCCATCAGCACACTCACCGTACTTCATGATGACGGGAAAGGCGGCAGATGTCTCAATGGCAAGGACCTTTGGCTGCCTCTGCTACTACCTCCCTCCCCAAGGCAACTTTGGGAAGTTCGAGCAAAGAGGAAGGGTTGGGATGTTCCTTGGACTCTCCAACACTCGGAAGGCATGGATCGTGCGGGACTTGGCAAGCGATGTTGACACGGACACACGCTCAGCTCGCTTCTTTGATGACCTCATGATTCCGGAGTTTGACTCATTTCCCGCATCCTCATCATCGCCTACGTCGCCCGCAGACACATCAACCACACGAGGACAGGAAGCTGACATAAATAAAGAGGATTCACCCATTGACGACGCAGCCAATAAAGGAGAAGGGGATGCAACAAGTGACTTACCTCCAGCTGGCATCTCTGTTCCTGAAGGTGCTGAAAGCAACGAAATGGAGAATGAGGCAAGTCATATCTATGACTTTGCCTACCCACCTGATGGGATCGAGCTGGCAGCTCATGACGCGACTCCACGGCGGGTTCACTTCAACCCAACTGTGACTGTGCTCGGAGGAGAAGGACAAGGGACGGACAGCATGACAGGACTGGATGTGCTGTTTGGGAAACGACAGGCAACACAAGCGTTCAACAAACATCCCAACTTGCAGCAACACGTGCTAGGATGTGTAGCAACCGGCGTCCCCATGGTGGACTTGACATACAAGGAGCCCAAAACGCTCAAGGAGATGACAACAGATCAATACGCACCTCTTTGGCAAGCTGCGGTGGATGCAGAGTTGGCAAAATTCGACGAGTTGGAAGCGTATGAAGTCGTGGACAGAGCTAACGTACCAAAAGGAGTGCCAGTGTTGACAGAAGGGGTTGTGTTGAGGGTGAAACGAGACGAGCACAGGCAGCCGAATCGATTCAAGGCACGCTGGGTGGTGAAGGGATGCGGACAGAGTTGGGGAACATACGACGAAACATACGCCCCAGTCAGCCAAGGACCTACATCGCGCATGTTTGTTGCCGGTGCATCGGCCACGAAACGAAAGGTGGTGCAACTTGACATTTCCAACGCGTTCCTTTACGCACCAATCGACACGGACGTGTACGTGCGACCTCCTGAACCTCGGCGTGAAGGGGACAAGGTCTGGAAACTCAAGCGCAGTGTATACGGACTGAAACAAGCACCACGCTTGTGGCATCAGCACTTACGGGGTGTCCTGTTGGAGCTGGACATGGTGCAGTCCGAATCTGACCCATCGCTATTCCTATGGAAGAGAGAAGACAAACACACGGTATGGCTGCTTACTTACGTTGACGACATCCTCATCCAGTCTCATGACGACGAAGGGATTGAAGTTGTGATTCAACACTTGAAGCAGAGCTTTACATTGACCGTCAGCAAGACAATGACGCAGTTTTTGGGGCTCAACGTCGCTGTTGACAACGACTCAATTTCACTCGGACTCACCAAGTACATCTCACAGGCTTTGGCGAACTTCGGGATGGAATGCAACCGTTCCGGAGTCCGAACGCCAATCACCAAGGAACCTGAACCACAAGGAGAACCACCAGACGAGATTGACAGTCAATTGGTGCTGAAACAAGTGGGGACATTGCTCTACATCTCAACAGCAGGAAGGCCGGATATAACATATGCAACGCACGTGTTGGCTCGACAAGCCGGCAAGCCAACAGCTGCAACCGTACTTGGGATTCAGCGTGTCTTCAAGTACTTACAGAACACCGCGAATGTGGGGCTGGTTTATGGAGGAGGGGACTTGGTGCTCCAGGGATACACGGACTCAGACTATGCGAACGAAGTGGGGTGTCACTCGGTTGGAGGCTACGTGTTTACCTTGGGAGGAGCTGGTGTCAGTTGGAGGACTAAGCGACAAACGGTCATTGCAACATCAACAGCTGAAGCAGAATACATTGCACTGTTCGAAGGGGCAAGGGAAGCTACCTACCTTCGGCGCTTGTGTGAAGACCTCGGTTTCCCACAGCAAGAACCCATTGTCATCTTTGTGGACAACTAAAGCGCAATTGCGCTTGCAACAGGGGAGCAGATGAGTCAACGCATCAAACACATGGAAGTCCGTTACCATTGGACGCGGAAGGCAGTCCGCGATGGTGTTGTGTGGCCGGAGTACTGCCCGACAGCTCAGCAAGCAGCTGATTACCTCACCAAGCCCATCAGAGCAAAGCAACATCTCACCTGCAGCCTCTTGTGTGGTCTCCAACCAATTCCGCCTGGAACACCGCCTGCAACCAGTCAGCAGATTGTAGGCGCTGGAGCTGCACTCACATGTTCGGGCTTCTTAAGAGGCGCTGGACAACAAGGCATCACGTAACTCTACACATCTCACTCATGTGTTTGGTGTTGTGTGCGTGCTCACGCATGTGCGTGACTAAAAACACACGAGTGAGAGGGGGAGTGGGGTGTGGAGCATCTTGGGGTGCAACAAATCGGGATTTGATTTCAAGACCATCTTTCATTTTCGTCATCACAAGAGTCATCACATATGCATCATGAGAAGACCTACTCCAATCAGTGACAAGAGAAGCCATAAAATATTCTCCTGGACAGTCGCAGCTGCTGGTCGGTCACAACCACTCACCAACTACAGCAGCCGTTCCTGAATACTTCAAATGCCTGCTGGTTTCAGGGGGAGAAGAAACAAGACAGCATGAGTCAAGAAAATTGTCCAAGACAACAGAGACAGAGGGCATCACAAGAAGCAGCTGACAAAGTCCTACTAAATACAAATGCATAGTTCCATGGTGACGCAGGTGCTGCTGATACCGCTCCCACTCGTCAGTCGCTGCTGGTGTTGCACCAGTGCAAGCGGCCAGCGCTCTAGGTGATGCTACTGTAGGACGTCAGGGGGAGCTGCAGACCACCAGGCGATGTTGCTGCTGTCGCCTGTCAGATGCTGCAGGTACTGGTGCTCGCAGGAGCAGCCCGCCAGGCGCAGGACCAGCCCGCCAGGTGCTGGTGTACGCCAGTTGCAACTGCTTCCGTGTTCCACCTGATGTAGGGGGAGCGGCACAAGGTCACGTCAACCAGCACAGGGTAACATGGAGCAGCACATGGTAACATGGAGCAGCATAGGGTAACAGGGTAACAAGGGTGAAACAGTCAGGTTTGACTAACCATCATCACCTCGGCAGGAAGGAGAAAGCCGTGCGCCAGGAGTTGCAGCGGTGTGTGAGGCCAACCGCCGATCCTGCAGCTGCTGCGTCCGCCGCTAGGAGCAGCCGCGGGTAGTTAGGTGATGCTGCCGAGCGCCATTCGCTGCAGCCATCACTGCAGCTGCCGTGCATCTGCCGTCCGCAGCCTCAGATAGCGGGTGCATGCTGCCACTACCGCTATCATCAGCTGCTGCCACCGTCGTCATCAGCTGCTGCCGCCGTTGTCATCAGCTGCTGCTGCCGCGCGCCACGAGGAGCTGCAGCCTGACGCCACATAGAATGTCTACGAAGCATACAGTCATTATCCTTCCATCACGAACAGTTCGACCAAGCATCTACAAAACTATCAACACGTCCGCGAGCGCGTCCATATGACACCATATGCACCTACTCATACAGCAAAAACTTGTTCAGCAGCATGACCTTCTTGTTCACATACGACTTGCGCACGTGCACCACACGCTTAATGCACTCCACGTCCACCACTGAGTAGCGTGTGGTGACCCTCCCAGGGGTTAGCTGCACGCAGGTTGTCATGGGGCACACGCCCGCCGCCTCATAGTACTTCACATATGCGTACCTCCCCTCCGTCCCCTCCGCGTCAGTTGCTCGGAACACGCACAGGCATCGTGCGTACCACTCCTCCTTGTCCTTCCTCGCCTTGACAGCGACGTCCGAAAACCACTTCTCCGACGGGCTGGCCTTGACAAACGTGCCCTTCGCGACAAGCTCCCCGCCGTGTGTACCTGTACACGTGTATGACAAACGCAGCTCAGCGCATGCCATATCAAATCAAACAGACAACGCCCCCCTGCCCTGTCATATAAGTTCACGGCTCACTGTCCGCACCCTGTCTAGATGAATACATTTGTGCTCACCTTGATGGCGGTGTCAGTCACTCCAGCCGCTGCCAGGCAACGCCCTAGCTCCTTCATGTCTGATCCTAGTGCCTCCTTGTACGCCCACAGCACAGCGTCCTCCCTGTCGCTTACGTCCGCAGTCCTCGACTTCCTCGTCAGAACGTACGTTTGAAGCCTCACCGCCTGAAAGGAAGGACACCCGCGTAATGCACATATTCCACATCAGTAATGCACCCATTTGTACCCCAAATCTCCCCATATTCCGCCACCCCTAGCCCTCTAATCCCGCCGACTGGGACAGCTCACCTCACGCAACGCACTGACGTATTGCTATCCTCCCCCTGCCAGGGCCGCCACCTCTCGTGTGATCTCCCTCTACACCTCCTCCTCCACGATGCGTCGGGGTATGTCCTTCCAGTTACTCCCGCGCACGGGGACCTTCACAGTGCCCTTGTGAGTGTGCTCCCACAGGTTCGTTGAATACTCATACGGCATCCCTCGGAGCATGATGCCGTCAATGAGATGAATGATCTGGTGCACCTTCGGTAAGTTCCACGCGGACGCTTGGGACTGAAAGGCGTCCTGCACTGCGTCCAGCATCCTGCAACACGGCATCCAGACATGGCATGATTATAGTCCACCTGAACATGCCCATAACCATGCCGCATTTCCCCTGTGCCACTACTACACCCCTGCGTAAGAACGTCAGCCACTAAGAGTCCACATCACATCCCACCCCCCCCAGAGCCCCCCCCCCACCCATCTGGACGCCACAAATGACCCCACTCACATGTACGCGTTCTGCCGCACGTCACTGAGTGACCTCTCGGTGTGCTTGTTCACGCCGAGCAGCGACTTGTAGAACAGCGCGTACCTCCTGAACGCCCTCACCTCCTTGAACCGCTGCTCCTTCTCCTCCGGCTCGCACCCTTCCATGTTGTCCGCGATGAGTATCGGCATCACTTGCATCATGCCCCTGTTCTCAAACGCCGCGTATTTTGCCCGTGACTTGAACCATGAAATTCCACCCGGGATCCTGACAACCGTGGTGCGTGTGTCCTTTTTCTGTTCCTTCTTGCGCCTGCAGATGGACAACCCATAAGCCTTAGAATTGCGTCATTTCAAAACAACGCGAGTGCAGCCGAAGAGCTCACTCACCACCCACCTCTCCAGTTCCCCCCTCTCCGGCTTGCTGAGAGGAGAAATGAACTCGTCCACCATGTGTCCAAGGAACCCCCCGTCCAACACATGCAGCACGTCCGCCACACAAGCTAGAAATACGTTTCCCCATGTCGTCTCAGAAAAATTCCACCTCTCCAGTACCGTCTGCCATCTCCCCAACACCGCAAAGCACACTGACCATGACAAGTACGTACGCCAGGAAAGTACAACTCACAACCACGCATCGGACCCAGCTGACCTGCACGGGGTGTGTCGACCATCGCCTCCGGATCTTGTCAGCCTCGTCCTTTGTGGATGCGTTCTGCATCCACGACACCACCTTCCGGTGCAGTTCCACAGTCCTGACAGTCGTCTCCGTCTTCAGGTCGGCCAGACTGGTCTTCTTGATGTAGCACGAGCTGCAGGGCTTGTGGGAACCCTGCTGCATTGTCGCCGTGCACCTGGACGACTCGGGGTAGTCCCCCACCTCTGCAAACAAGCATGGGAAAGCCTTCACCACTTGGCCAGATGCATCTGTCACGTATATGAACTTCAGCTCGGCATTGCATCAGCCAATGCACGCCGCATCATCAATGCATCTCCATCCATGCAGACATGACCAAAACAACCAACGCGTCACAACCAACTCACCCTCGGTGCTCTCTCAACAGCGGCTCGAATATAATCGCCATCGCCTCCTGGAACACACGGGTCTTCTCGGTGGACGTGGCCCAGTCAGGTGGGAAAGGCAGCAAGCCAGCCATAACGTGGCCCGGATCTAACCATCTCAGTGTCTCTGGGATGTTCACCAGACTTATTAGTACTGGCCACGCTTGTAGCCTCCCGTTGGCACTCGCGTGCGTACTGTCGCTGTACACAACCACCCCTAGAATGATACCCTTCTGCTCCGGGCGGCTCGCATGAGCCCGTTCGAGCCACACCCCGGTGTCCGGGGTGCTAAAATGCCTCTCTCCCTCGGAGTGTACGAACGTCCGCACCAGCTTCTGCACCAACTGCAAAGCGCATTGATAGACAATAACTCAGTGAGGCTTAAACAGTGTAGCCATCTCACGTGTCTCCCGCCAACGAACACACCACATGTCACTAGCCCCATTCTCACCAGCTCCGTGTTCCTGAAATGAAGCGGGAGGTTTGCCATCTTTCCTCCGGGACCGTAGCATTTGATAACGGTCTTCTGCCACGGCACTAGATCCGGTGGAGCCATCAACTTCTCGAACCTCCTCACGTCAACAAAGTTCATCCAACGTCGTACATCTCAGACCGAGAATCGGGGGTTCGCGAATATGTTGAGCAATCTGTTCACCTCCCGTCGCGATAGGTCAGCGTCTCGGAAAAAAATGTACAGCTCGGTAAGAGTGTCGAAGCCATCATCAATACTACTTATGTCACTCTCTGCATCTTCGTTCTGCGCTATCGCATCAGCGAGTGGATCCTCATTTGCCACGTGCTGGCGTGCGTTGCCGCCTGCCTCTCCAGCAGCGTCCGAATGACGGGACCGTGCAGGTGAAGGGGGGCGTTCGCCCCGCATGGCTCGTACTGCCTCTCTATACGCCTCCACGAGCCGCTCCGCCCTAGCGTGGTTAATCTTACGTCTGCATCGTGTGTTGCCCGCCAAGTGAGACTGCAGCGTATTATCATCCACGTGCTCGGCCCCGCACGCCTCGCATGCGTTGCCCAACATAGTTACAATGGGTAAGAGGAAACCCTAGCGCCACTCGTATTTAAACTGACTGATACTCTCATTGAAGTGCAATGTTCCGTGTGTGTCCTGTTCAAGTGGCGGGACAACCTCTGTACAGTTCATCGGAGGTGTACGCGTGTCTGTTTTGGTCTGTGCAGTTCGTGTCTAACCTTACCTAACCGTACAACCATCCCCCGTTTTAACGTGGTTGGGCTTGTGACGCCATCTGGTTCGGTTTCTGTGAGCCAACCGTTTACGTCTGGTTTGCAGTGAGCGTTATTTCGGTACGAGCATAACATGGACTCGCTAAGATTCTCATGCATTCCCCTCGTCAACAACATATTACGTTTTAAATGATATCAACACATAACATTGCCCCCCTTAAATAAGTTCACTTACATTCGTCGTTCCGGGGTATAAAACAATAATACATCAGGCACTATGACGCTGCCCGTGCACACACCCCTGGTCCCTGCACGACAGACCCTATATAGTGGCAGATCCGCACCGCACACAACTGAGAATCGTGGCCTACTAGGCGTTTATCGGTTCCTCAATAGCATGCGTAGTCTCTGTCCCCAAATCGCCGAAGCTGTATCTGACCAGGAGCAAAATGTGGGTTCCTTATGGTGCGCAACAGCCCGTTGACGTCCCTGCTTGACAGTCCCCCTGTGTGCCAACGGCTAAGTAGCCAAGTCAGCTCTCTAACACCGCTCTGCAATGAACCATCATCGCCCGACGCGTCCGCCTCGTCATCTGCACGCGCATCTTCCGCCGAAATAACCACCGGCCCACGAAACTCGGAAATGAAGGGCCGGCCGCCGCAGTGAACGCTGTGGGCCCGGTCCGCGTATAGCGCTCTTTCATTCAGTATTGCAGCGCCACAACGAGCGCAATCGATGGTCGACATGCGTACGTATGACGGTCCCAGGCGCAGGGAGGTTAGGCCAGCTTTAGCACGAATTGTAAGGGGAGTAGCTCAACAAGGAGGTAAGAAACTAACGCAACCACTGCACATGGAGTGGTTAAACCTGCAGACCAACTCATCAAACCCTATTCACGCTGCCAATCTGCGGGCGTTGAGTCCTCTTTGTGCCGTCTCGTATTACGCAAACCACCGCACAAATTTCAGCAAAATAGTGGTCTATACCTAGGGTCTGTTCATGTTTGAACACACCCTATGCTACCGACAATTTACATGGATAAGAGGGTCCGTGCCTCTGCTCCTCAACGTTCCACACTGTACGTGGACCGTGTGCCTCCGATATGGTTCTATGTTGCATCCTCGCCAATTGCATCCCCGCAACGTTCTAACGTGCAACATCAAAAACACATATCGAGTATACCAAATGCATGCCACCTGGGTGGCTAAGCCAATCCCACAGCAGTGCTTGTCATTCTGTCTAGAAGCGATGTCGCCGTGTGGACACTACCGAGCCTCATCCACATGGTGGACTCCATTCCCGTCCAGGACAAATCGGTGTCCACCAACAGTGACAGTGACGTGTCACCCCGCGATCCATTGGGCTGGAGGGGGATAGTGTCAAGCCCTGGACACTCCGGTGTCCACCTCACTGCACGCCTCCCTCTCCTCTCTCACGGACAGGAGCGTCCTATAACCCTGCGTCCACCCTTTCTGAGCAGCATACGCAAGGCCGCCATGGCTGCATTGGTGCACCTTCTTGAGTCATTTCAGGCCCATCCCGATGACGTGTTCTGCTTTGTGGAGACCCCCTTGCTCGCGACAACGCTGCCTTACAGCAGTCATTTCGTCCCTGAATCGGGGTACAAGCCAAAGGTCGAGCTGCGCGTGTGTATCCTCTTCAACGCTTCGGGGAGTATGGTCTTACCTCCGACCGTAGTCAGGCGACGCGATTGCGCTCACCCGTACCGTCACGGCCTCCGTGAGGGCGACCACGTGCATCTTCGTCAGACAAAGAACGGCGAGTTGTCCGCCGAGGTATGTCTAGTCGTCTTTCGGTTACAATGCTGAGTGCACGTCCTTGCGTCCGTAGCGCCTGTTCTCACTATTCCCGTACTCTTTCCATGTCTCAATTCTTCAGCGAGTACATTGACAACTTCAATGGAGACCGTCTTGCACACAACAAGACGGCACTAGTGCTCGTCTCCGGCAGGATGCATCGCTCTCTGGACGTGTCGTGTAAGGAGGCCGTAATCTTGGGGTTCCGCGTGCAGGAGCTTTCCAACACATTAATCGTTAACATTAGTGGTGTCGTGGACCCAGTCAACTTCCCCTGGTTCAACAGACTAGTCGAGATGTTCAAGACAATCTTCCGCAACATTTACTTGTCCTTCGTAACCACGGACTCCGAGTGGCGCGCGAGGGGGTTAATGCCTCTTATTCTGTACGATAACCTGCTCGTCTGGGTGGGAAGGTTGTGGCGTCATACACCGCCTTGGGCGGTGCATCTCACGTGGGCACGGTCTGGCGTTATGCCCCTGGCGTGGCGCGAGCTCCTACACCTAACTGAATACCCTCCTACGGCCGTGACCCGCGAGCCCCTCATCAAGCAGTTGGTGCAGCTGCAGGTCTTGATCGACCGGTTCGCCAGAGGTGAGCCGGGCTTCATGGCCGCTACGGACTATGCCGCGTGTGACGGGCGGCTGCTGTCGTCCGTTGGACGGCCGACGCCCGTGGAGGCGTCTATCGCGGGAGGATCTGCCGCACTGCTTCCCATGGCAGAAGGGACAATTTCTCGAGACCCTAGAAGCCGACGGAGCGTGGTGCGCGCGGTAACGCAGTCGTATGTGCGCACGGCGGCGGAAATGGGCATAAGTCCGCGCGACGTCCCGGAGCGAGTGGGGGTGGAAAACGACGAAGTGGTTGAGCGGCTTCGCCGGACTCCCCCTAAACGCGCACGCCGTGCCACCACCGTACACGGGAGTTCCATATGCAGTGACAGCTCTAGCGGCGACACAGCCGGCCTCCTGTGCTTTAGCTCACCTCTTGTTTCTTCAGTCAGCGGTAGCAGCTATTAGCGTGTGGCAAGGGTACAATAACTATCCGTTTACTGCTGGTTACCGGGTGGATAGTACGATGTTTGCTTTGTGTGTTGTTGCCTTGTTAAGTTATGATTTGCATGTTAATGTCGAACCACGTTATAAAAGGTACTTTATTCCTCAGCATGTATCCAACCACACCGGCGTGCATGCTTGATCATAAGACATGTGACAAGGTGTACAGCTAGGCCTAGCTTGATTGGCCTATCTTGAATTCCGAATTCCGTCCGCTTAGCATTCCATCTCCTTCCTCTCCCACCTTTGACTACGCACAAGGCCAAAAGTGTCCGTATAGAATATCGAGCAGCTAGACAAAAAGCGTCTGCTACTGCCATTCCAGTCTAGAACAGTTTTGGCCTTTCCCTATATGGCATTTGACGGTTGCGTCCAGCACTATGAGAATTCGTGGACGGGGTGTTAAGCGCGAGGATCTGACACAAAGGAGCAGGATGCAGACCTGCACAAAGGCGGGGGTGATAAGCGCAAGACCAGGTCATCTGCATCGGGTTGGAACGTCGGAGGCAGTGGGTCGCCCGTAGACGACCAGCCAGACGACTTGATCAAGAGGCTACGAGATCCGGCTGTGCGTCGAGATTTCAGAACTCTTACCCTCTTTGGGCCTTACGGGGTTGGATGTCAGATCACCGCGAAATATGCTCTTACTACCGCCGACGGGAAGTATCTTGCCAACACCATAGTCGATTTCCACAACATGTAAGAGGTTACATGCCGTTCAACGGATGTGGCAGTACTATGGAGCGCAGGTATTTAACTCGTAATTTGATGGTTGTGGCCGTGCATGCAGACTTCTCAACATCCGACATCCTAAACTGAAGGACGGAAAGACGTGGTTCCCGCTCGACACAAAATCTTTTGTATACGCAACCCAACTGGACAAGCCCTGGCCGATGGGAGGGTCATCCTGTATTTTCGATCTCGATTACGTGGCCATTTTTATCATTGCAAGGTGGGTGTAATGTGGACGCACGTATAGCCTTGACCTCCTATCCCAGGGCGGTGCTGATTGTGTGGGCCTGCCATCTGCTACCTGTGCAGGCGCCACGTCTCACTGGTCATAGCTCTTAACCTTGCGCGAGTTTCGTCGGGGAAACGAGGCGACAGGGTGACGGAAGGTGTGAAGCTTGTGCACTACGACAGCAGCGGCATGCACGCCACGGACCCTTCTGTCATCGATGGTGTGAGGAAGTGAGTAGTTGTGCTATTGTGCATCCTGGTGTACGCAGTATAATGATGCAAAGACGCCTAACAATTGCGTGTGCTTGACACAGGACACTGCTCATGATCCACGAGTTGCAGCTGCCAACAGACAACCCTGTCAAGGCTGCTGCGGAGGTGCGAGAAGCAGAGCACATAGTCATACCGGTGAGGAATGGTGCAGTCGTATGTCCGTGGTGTTTTGGCGAACCGTTGTAGTGTTTTGGGAATGGCGTCGTTGAGTGTGGTCTGACGTCCCTTTCCCACTATGTCATCCTGGCAGAAAGAAGTGATTCCACAGCAGACCAACGACAAGGACTGTGGAGTTTTTGTGTGCATGTACATGAAAGCTCTCGTGCGGTCAGATTTCAGCACGGTTCTCAAGTGGGTGGCATGCGACGGTGTCACGGCAAAGGACTTCAGACGCGGCATGCGCGCAGATGTATGCAGTCTCGCTGCTGGAGACCTGATGGTGCAACTACTCATGGAGGAGATTGAGGTGCCCCTTCAACCGATTCCAGTAGTCGGCGACCAGGGTGTGCTGATGTTCCCAAGGGGAGATGACGTGCGCCTGGATCTAGCACGGCTTTCGCGCGAGCGAACCAACATGGAGCTGGACGGGTTCGTCTTGGCCTCAGCGGTCATGAGCATCGCAAAGGCACTAGGGTACAACCCACATGAGCTCCGGGCCGCATGTGCGCATGAGCTGAGCACATGTGGGACGCCACTACTCCGCCGGTCGCCATCGGCGGAGAACTATGCGGAGCGTCAGGCCGCACAGGAGACTCTGGCCGATATGCTTCATGATACGCCAGAGCCACTACGTCCTGTACCCGCGATATGGGCCCGCCAAAAGGAGGAGGAGACTGGAGCAACCCTCAAGGTGCGCAAAGAGAGCACGGAGACGCACAGTCCGAACACCCCTGATACCTCCCCAGAGAAGGGTCTATGCGTTGGGATGCGAAAGCCATGATCTGCAGCGGCGAAGGCAAAGGCGTGTGCTGGCACCGGGGAGAAGAAGAGAGGTGGCACGAGCGAGTACATGGGAGTCTGGTTCGAAACGCGTGTCAGGAAGTGGTGCACAAAGTTAACGGCCGATCCGAGTACTGGCCGTCAGGTTCGTCTGGGCGCATACCAGAGGGAGGAGGACGCGGCGTACGCGTACGCCGCAGGAGCATTCGTGATACGGAGGAAGGACACCTTTTTCAAGGTCATGGAACTGAACGCGGGTGAGATGGCAGCGCTGGAGGGGTGCATTGAGGATGACGTGCGTCACCTCGTGCATAAACGGCAGTGGTATCGGTGGCGGGAATGGCGGAAGGCAATGGATGACATAGGGGTCAAGCCTGGAACACCATTTGAGCTGGAGAAGAGTGGCAAGTCGAACCCACAGGCGCCCCGCCACGGCACTAGTGTGGATGCACCAGGGGAGGCGGCTGATGCGGACGGGGAGAGCGTAGAAGTCTCCCCTGGGGAAGGATCGGATGGTGAAGCGGTAGACATGCGCACGCCCTGAGATGTGATGCATTGGGGTGGATGTTGTTTGGGTTGTGGTGAATTTGGGTCGAGGCTGGTGCCATAAATCGCATATAGTGTTGTGGTGAAACAACTGCTTGTGGATCCCTTTTTTGTTGAATACTGGTTGTACACCTTTTTATGTCTGTACCAATATGTAACACTAAGGTGTATGAACGCGATGAAAGTTGGTGAGTTTGTGAGGTCGTGGGTTGGACACGAATAAACCCACAGTCAGGCGATAAAAGGATGTGGTTTGGTGGCGATGGCAGATTGGCTGGCAGATTTCCGTCCGGAAACTCATCCGCCACGTCATTGTCCGCCAAACTCTGGACACACACAGGTCGTTCTGACTCTCTGTGCACAAAGCCTAGAAATCGCGTCATTCTGGACACCAACCGTCCAGGATCCACTGCCAAGATGGACAGTGGCAACGACAGCATTCGAGCGTCCAGGGACGGGAAACGTCAGCGAGTGTCCAAGCCTCCCAAACACCTCACGCATTATGTGGTGCCAGGGACTTCCAGGAGGCCGCCTGTGCCAAAGGGGAATGGCCCGAGGGATAAGAAGCCGGTTGTACGTGCACCGACAAGCGTCACTTCTGATCGGTGTAAGTCTGGGTGTGAATATGTTCATCCGTATGCGTTACCTTAATGTATCTGTATGTGTAGGAGTTCATGATTCACAACGTCCGGCCGTCTTCGTTTGACGTTCCGTCCAATATGTCTGTGCAGCGTCCTCCCCGGAGCCCAATCCACCCGACGCACGTGAGGGCAAGAGCTCCTCGTCGCATGGTACGGCGACCAATAGGCGGAAGGAAGGCCCTTCGTCGTCTGTAGGGAATGGGCGTTCGGCGAGGCCCGAAAAGCGTCGCAAAGTTTCGGACCTGCCAGACACGGAGGAACAGGCCGACGCGCCGCCACAGGAACCGGAGCCAGAGTCGTCTGATGACAACCCGAACGAAGCGCTTCCGCGTGTCAATGCTGCTGCCGACGACGAGGAGGAGGAGACTAATGAGGAACTCTCCGACTCGGCCCCTGTTACCAGGGATGAGTTTGACGCCATGCGCAAAACCCAGAAGGACACGGCTGCGACGCTTGCGAGGCTCGAGACGGCGCTGCTGGCGTCTCTTGCCAACCACACTGCAAAGAAACGCAAGAGGGACAATGCGCGCGGAGAGTGCGAGAGGGCGACGAATGCAAGGAAGGGTCGTCGTGTTGCAACGCCAGAGGAGTCCGACCTGGACGAGGACGAGGTGGAGGAAGAGCACTGGCGGCACATGCGATCGTCCACATCGCCCGTTATCCAGCGCGCGCTGAAGTTTCCGCCGTCGAACAAAGGATGGAAGGCACGTAGTGCTCGTGTGTATTCGCGGTTGCCATGTTGTTACGCATCGGGATTGGTTTATCTCTAGTGATGTGGTGGAGGTTACGTATGCTAAACGGTTGCGATGCACAATGTCTGGGGCCTCGTCCTGTGCAGGAGATATGCGAGCAGTTGCGCGTGCATCTCTTCATCGCGGCGGACAGCAAGTCCATGACGTTCTACCCGAGCAGCGCGGCAAAGACGCGAGCTTTGTGCGCCGTCATCGAGAGCCTGCCCCTCCCATTCGCGAGCCTGGCTCTGGCTGCCGACAAGGCAAGGCGCGCTGACCTCAACTGCACCCTGAGCGACTGGAAGACGGCGGCGGCTGGACGCGTGCGCGACATTGCGCTGCCGAAACTCGGTCTTTTCCGCGACGAGCGGGACGCGCAAAGCCCGTGGGCTGCACCTAGGGCACGTTCGGTGGCGAGGGTCCGGGAGCGACTTGCTCTGACGCTGGATGGGGAGGGTAAGACATGTACATGCGTTTTTGTATGGACCGCATGAGTGTATCTTTGCGGACTGACATGTACTTCGCCGTGGCTGGACGCAGACGTATTCGCTATCTCCAAGTGGAGCGAGGACCGCCGCGGCATGCCTTTTGCGTCTGGGGCATTCGCGGCCTGTGCACGTGCGGCGTTCAAGCCGCGGATGATCAACGGCACTGTGACGCTGAAGCTGTACCACATGGCGTGGCTCGAGCACGTGGTAATTAGTGATACTGGACGCAGTTGGTTCGTACCATGTCCGCCGTAGTATGTGGACGACAACAGTCCTAACCCCTGGTCGTTACATGTCATGTGCAGGTGACCGATGCCATCCGCTTCTGGGAGACTCGCAAGGGCAGGCTGTCCAACTCTGCGGGTGTCAACGCGCAGATCGTGGACGGCCTCCGCGAGTGTGCCCTGACGGACGTCATGGCGGCTGTCGATGAGTTCCAGCCGGCGTACGACGCAACCATTTCATCTTGGGCTTGGGGCCGCCATGGCCTGCGCCTTTCTTCGTGCGGCATCGAGCGCCAGGCGACAGCTGCGCCTGCAGCCAGCGAGAGCGGGAGGGAGGGGGACAATCTCTCACTGAACTGAAGTGAATGGAACACTAAACCCTCCTTGGGAGGGGAGAAGGAGTTCAATGTTGTGCGCGACTAGTGGAGGGTATCCGTAGGGGAGAGAGTAGGTTGTGGCATTATGTAGTGCTGGTTGTTGTGTAGCACATGGTGTGTGATGTTGAGTGGAACATGTGTAGGGCTAAACCGTAAAGAGGAGTGATTTAAAGAATGTCTAATGCCTTTGTCCAACGGGGAGGACACCTAGCCTCAGACCAATGTGCATAACACCAGCGTGTGCGAGGGTGCGTGTATGGTGAAATTTAGGGCGTGGGATCTTTGTGGTCGAAGCGCGTTTCTCCTGTGGGAACTGGATGGACGGTTGGATGTTGAGATGACACAGCGGCGGCGCGTCGAGTCGCGTGATGGACGGTGGTAGTGATATGTAGGGAGGACATCTACGGGCCAGAGGTGATGTAACCATGTTATTTGGTTATGAGTCTGTGGCTGGGAAAGATCGTTCAGGATCAAGCGAAATGTCCAGCCTGGGATATGCAGGACGTGGATTGGCCAAATAAAGAGGGACGACGATTGCGCGTAATGGACGGACAAAGGTGTGCCGTAGATCTCCGCGCCAGAGATGCGATGTCCGTGTCACATTTGGAGCAACCGGGGCTGTTGGATCGAAAGGAAATACGATGTTTGGATTAGACGAGAGCGTCGCATCCTAGCCGTGACTGCCAGTTGGTGATTGCGTCCTGGTTCAGAGATGTGTGTGCCATGGACGGTTCGGATGATGGCCAGGTAGCAGGAGGTTGGTGTGTTTATAGCGCAGCGACATCCGTGGGATATTGGGGCAACGAACGGTTGGATGTGTTTCGCAGGTGGTTGGCGAAAACGCAACCAAAGTGTGTGGCAAATCTTGATTGTACAGGTGTGGCTATATCGACGGCCTGGAGGGACACATGGCGGGAGCCGTGGACGCACATCAGTCGTTGATGTGGAAGGCGATGTGTTGCATCTGGGCCGTTTATAAACATTGGGTTTCCGGACAAGTGGCGTGAGCCGATTTGTGGACGCGGCTGTACACCTGGCGTACGTTCTCTTGGTCAGTGGGATAGTTGTTACGCGTAGTTGTCACTGTACAACACGTGTCTGCTGACGTGGAGGTGGTGTTTATCTGTAATGTTTCGGTGACCCTTAAGGTACATGAGGCACGGGGACGTAAATGTGGAGAACCAGTCTTGTAGGAGTGACTTGGAGTGTAACGGAAAGGTGGGGTTTTTGTGACATTTGGGAGACATTTTGGTGACCCTGGCGTGACTGGCAACGTGACCCTCAATCCTGGGACTTCCAGCCATGACTTTCCCGTGACCGGAATCTGTCACGGGAAAGTCACAAAGTTGTCAATCTTCGGTGACTTCCGCCCCTTGTAAAATCCGCGATGCACCAGGGACAGTAGGTGCTGCAAACGTCGAGTAGCAGCAGCAGCCTCGCGCCAGATCGTCAGCAAGTGGCAGGGGAAGATCGCGCCGTGTGATGCAGCGGCACGCTTGCCGCTGCAGCCCTACGTCAGCCACTGCTGCTGATAGCCAGGGGCGCTGACGCAGCAGAGGACCAACTGCTGCAGAAGTGCGCAGGGTCTTCCTGCCACGCACCAAGCATCAGCCGTCGCGCAAGTCGCTACCGGAGGGTTGGAAGCAGCTGTGCGCCATGCTGCTTCGGTTGCGCGACCAGCAGCAGAAACACGCCATCGAAGAAAGAAATCGCCAGCAGCTAAGTCGCGCGTCAGACGAGAAAGAGAGCCAGCTGCCGCTCTCCTATTTCAAGCATTTCGACCTTCCTAAGGGACATTTCGCCATGGACAAGTTATGGCATTGCCTGCAATGGCGGCCCATGGACTACGAGCTCTAGCAAGTCGAGATTGAGAGCCAGGGAAACGAGATCGGAAAAGCCAGAATGCCGAAATTGCTAGACCCCTACTCGAGAAGGGAACGGGAAACGAGAGCAGCAGGAGCGACAGAGTCAGGGTTCGATGTGAGGGAGCCGTTCGAAAGGAACAACCTGAGCGTCGGAACGTGCGGTAACCTGAGCAGAAACTGCTACACGACAACCCAATCCACCGTCCGACGCGTCAAACTGAACGTTCGAACCATAACCTCTTCTAGTCCGCAATCAACGCCACGGACTGAATCAGCCCCGCCATCAACGCTGAGACCAAAATTTACACCGCAATCAGTGCTGGTTACAGGTATCCTCCAAGACAAAAACTCAGTAAAACCTACAGCAAGGGGGAGTGTTAAATATACAAACATAAGATAATACAAATGCTGTTAGATTTTACTGTAGTGTTCCTTTATAAGACTCCCAGCCCTCCAATAATTGTACAATTATTGGAGGGATAGAATTATTGGAGTCTAGAATTATTGGAGGGTAAGAATTATTGGCAGGTAAAATTATTGGTGTGGCATTATTGGTGTGGATGAAACCATCTTGAGGGGGTTAGCTGCTTGGATAAATACCCTGCTCTGTCATTTCTTAATCAATCCATTCCATAGCAAACTTTCAGTTCTGTTCTGTTATACAATCAAGGATTCCGCTACGACGGCACTATGCCTTTCTAGCAAAAGGTACTACACTACAACTATACTCTTATCCTATTGAGATGCATTTACATCATTGCTGCCTTCACCAAAGTGTTGATGCCATTGTTACTGACTGTAACTGGAAGCAGCACTGAATCCACCGCATGGACGACTATTGACGGACTCGAGTACATGTTTCCGATTAAAACTCTCGCGCCCCAAGAGTCTTCAACCCTGACGATACGCAGCCGGTTGTTTGTTTGGCTCTTCTTGAGTGAAAGGCTGTGGAGTGTTTCCATCTGCGAATAAGGTCGTGGAATGGGTAGGAAGGATAGTGAACTTGGAGGTGAGTAGTGTGTGGAGGATATGGGGGGGACGGGAATGGATGGAGGCGAAGAGATCCAACAAGCTGGGTTGGAGATGAGAGAGAGGAACTACATGGGAATGGAGTTAAAGATCAATGGGGATAGAGTTAAAGATCCAACAAGCTGGGTTGGGGATGAGAGAGAGGAACTACATGGGAATAGAGTTAAAGATCAATGGGGATAGAGTTAAAGATCCAACAAGCTGGGTTGGGGATGAGAGAGAGGAACTACATGGGAATAGAGTTAAAGATAAATGGGAATAGAGTTAAAGATCCAACAAGCTGGGTTGGAGATGAGAGAGAGGAACTACATGCAGGCTAAGCAAGAGAAACAAGCTTACCAGGAATCCATTTCCAAGGGCCTTGATGTCATTGATTTCCATCCGACATGGCAGCACGTGATAGGCCATCGCCTGCCAGAGAGCTTTCTTCCTCCTTAGCAGTCCTCCAAAACGCACATTCTTGGGCATACGGAAGAACGCCCCATTGGTTGGTGCAAAGATGGTAACATTGTTCGACAGTAGTGCATTCATAAGCGTCTCATTTAAACCTGGAGATTTAGGAGAAGGTTGGAGGACACAAAAATGGACAGAAACGCAACAAACAAAAGGATTGCTGATTTGAAGTCGAAGATATGGATTTCAAACATGATCATGCAGTAAAATTGCATTCTGTCATACAAGTAGCAACTGGATTAATAGGAGGTGTAACTTACCACTTCGGCTAATTCCCATTGCAGCTCCGGTGAATTTCCGCTCGTTCAAAAATCCCAAGACCTTGTTCACTTCAGCCAACGCTGCTTGCTGCTCCACCGTCAGACCATACCCAGCGCCTCCGCCTGGCGCTTGGCCTCCAGAGCCTGCTGCTCCGCCTCCGCTGTTACCTCCGCCACCTTCGCTTGATTGCCCTCCGCTCCCCGTTCCGTTCCCCGTTCCGCTTCCCCCACCGTGGATAACTTCCCCGCTACCGTCAGACTTTCCCGATGCCGATCCCGAACCAGTCCCCGAGCCTCCGGCCGCGCCAGAATCAGCTCCCGTGCCTGTTCCGCTCCCCGTGCCAGATCCGGAGCTTCCTTTCCCCGTCCCCTTCCCCTTGTCTGGGCCTCTTCCCTTTCCCTTTCCGATGCCTTTCCATGCGCCTGTCCAAATACCTTTCCATGCGCCTGTCCGTGTAGCTTTCCTTGCGCCTGTTCCCGAAATGCTGTTCTCTGCTGCGCTTGTGACGGGAAGCAACGGCGACGCCGCGACGATGGACAGGAGGAGAAGGAGAAGCGGGAGCAGGGCTGGCAGGGTTAGGCCGACGCGGGGGGGTTGGGAGCGGTGGATAACGCCTTGGGTCGAGCGTGATTTGCGGCGGCAGGTCGGAATGACGAGAGGGGAGTCCCCGCCGCGGATGTCGTTTGGACGCCATGACCGTCATCGCCGTCATCGGAATCATCGCAACCAATGAGCTGATTACGCGTTGAGTCGTAGTCGTTAACGAACGCCTCTTAAATTGAGGGTAGCACTTGTAACTGGTAGGGGTTGTAACTTTCGTGCGAATTTGAGACCTGGCGACTCTGCGGCTTGAACCACACTACTAGACGAACGCGTCGGAAATACTTCGTCGTTGCACTTTGAAAGTGATAGCTGGGAGAATGAACTGAGAGGTACCTTGGTGGTACGAATTGAATGAACACCCTTCATGCTTCTCGTGAGCAGAAATATCGAGTGACTGATAGTTGATACGTGGGTGCGTTGACAATATCTAGGTTCGCCTACTGACAGTGGACACGTGGTTACGTGGCAATGGCTGCAGGAAAGCTGTGAGCAATACGTATCAAACAGCGATAGCTCCTTGGCCTAAGGCGTCGTGAAGAGTGGTGTGTTAGCTAGAAGCAACGCTATCAGCCGTCGTGAAGCGAATGCGGGTTATGGTGCGTGTGGTAGCTGGGTGGGAGGAGCACTCGAAAGTCAAATCCTAGTGGCCTGTGCGTGCGAAACTGAAAACTTCTCGCCGACAATCCTGAGACGAGCAGTGGAACCAGCTGAAGGATGGCGGGGCAAGTGTTTGTTGTGTTGTCAACGGCTTTCTTAGCTTCAACGCGCAGAA